AAAATAACAATTTTTTATTTTGATTAATTTGTATACATTTGAATTCAATTGGTGAGGGTAATTTTTGGTACCTAAAAGCTAGACATACCTTTAAAGATTTTTTTCATTTTTTTGTTTTCTCATCAAAATACAATATTATATGGCATTCAACTCATTTGACTTGAGTCACACTTCATACATTTCCATATACAATATAAAAATATATTATATACTCTTACCATTATTAGCTGGCATCGTTTCAATAGCAGAGTTAATGCATTTAAGAGTAAATAATTTATTTACACATTTATTTATTGGCACAATTTGCATGTGGGATAGCATTAAGCATACGCCGCATGGCACCATAATGCTCTCAATTAAAAGTGCAATTAAATGAAGGAAGCAAAAATAAAAATATATTGCAATTGAATTGATTACACCTATTGTGTTTGTTAAATGAAATGTAAATCGAAAATATATGTATTATATATGGTAAATATATACCATATACACATATACATATATAACATATTGGCAGGGCCTTAGCAATTAATCACCAAATAATTTGTTAAATTTTAATTTACTGCTTCGAGTTGCTGTAAACAGCTCAGCGAACACACACACACATACATACACACACACCCAGACTCACATTCACATGAGTACTGACAGTTGCATAAGCCGTTCTGTGTGTACCGTTAATTAAGATTTAATGCGCAGTCAGCCACGCCCCCATCGTTCAGCCTACATTTTCTATTGTCTGTGCCTGTGTGTGTGTGTGCGTGTGTTTGTGCGTAATTAGGCGACAATAAGCATTTAATACACATTTTCTAAAGCACAATACTTGACCAAAAACACATACGCACACACACAATGACACACACACAATCACCCACTCATACACATACACACATACACATTCACATTCGAATGATTCCAATTAGTTTTGGCCGTATTTACGCTCGAGCTTTAATGCCACGCCCATTAAGTGCACAGGCATTATGGCAATTGAGCATTTCGGCCAACTGCAATTTGTTAGCTAATTTAAGGCCAATAGCCCCAAACAAACAGCCGCCCGTCTCTGACTATTGACTATATGGTTAGATCTCACAAACCCCTAACTACTCCTGCTGCTACTCCTCCTCCTCCTGCTGCTGCTGCTAAGGCCCATGCCTGCTCTTACCACGACGCCCACTCACGAGTGTAATTAAAAACTATCTGCGAAATGGAATCACACATAACATACACTGAAAAAACTCCACTCTGAGTTGGACATCTATTTAGTTGTATGCAAATAGAAAACTGTTTAATTTACTCACTGATTCGCAAATGAATGGAGTTTAGTTAACTAAAAAGCGGATGGGGTTGAGTTGCTGAAAAGGAAACAGAGTGTGGGAGAAGTTAGTTAGTAAGAAAAAGAGAAAGAGGCAGAGAGTGATAGGGAATGTGAGTGTGTGAGAGAGAGAGAGAGAGATGAAGGATGAGAGAGAAAGATTATTAGATAGTGAGAGATGGAATAGAGGAGGTGTAGGTAGAGCAGCTATGGAGTACATTCATTCTCTATGCAAATCTCTATGACAAATATTGAATTTATATACAATATTTAAAAGAGGTTTCTATGAAAGAGATTCGATCTTTCAATATTACCGAAAATAAAAACAATATATATATTTATTCATATGTCGCATACAATGTTGCACAAGCTTACTAATTTCTCATTTAAATAAATAGCAAACTTGTTATATATAGAAAAAAAATAATAATAAAATAAAAGAAAACATAACAAATTTTTATTCTAGGCATTTCCATATTAAAGGAAAAAGATATTTACAGGGCTATCCAATAGCCAATTTTTCAAGAGCTATAAGTGAGAGAAATCGTTTTTTTAAATGACCAAACTTTTTAGCCATAGAGAAATTCCCGTTAAAGACAACCAAATAAAGATAAATTAAATTAAGAGACAACTGAATTTCGGCTGCCTTTCCGTTTTCCATCGCAATATCTCAAAAGCAATTAAACCCATATATACGACTATCTTCAGATCTCGTCATTGAGCAGTTTTTAGATACATTTTGCGAATGTGCAATTTGAATGCTAAATTTGTGGTTGGCTCGAGTGCCTGATGAGTATCGCTGCGATTGAAATTAATCTCGCGCAGTGTAATTAATTCGCTCATAATTTGTGGCGCCAAATGTAACTGCACCAGATTAGTAATTATGTAAGCTGCTCACACACGCACACACACAGACATAGGCACCGCACTCAGACACACACACACACCCACACATGAGACAGCGGCCATAAATCCGCACATAAATACAAATTACAGTGGGACACATAGAGACAGACCCACGCTCACGAAGAGACACAGAGATAGCCTCACACACACACACACACACGCACACATGGACAAAGCAATATCAATTTACTCAGACATTGTGCGAGAGTCAAAGGTTAAGTAAAAGTACATGCATAATGAAACTGTTGGCTTGTCCTCTTGGTACTTGGGTCGTGCTCTGGCCGCCGCCGCCGACTTCACTCAATCGTCCGTTGCCTTTGTTTTATGACAGGGGCTTAGCTTAGGGCTTCGCATTTTGATATGAAAGGCATTTAAGACCCCCGGGCACAGTGAGCGCCGAATGTCTGCTGACCACGCTCTAATCACTGACTAACGAGCTCTGATTAATCCTACCCCTCGCCTACCCTTTGACCCGTTGCAGACAATCATACGCGAGATGAATCGGCTGGGCATGATGGTGGATCTGTCGCACGTCTCCAAGGGAACCATGCGCGACGCTCTCGAGGTGAGCGAGGCGCCGGTCATCTTCTCGCACTCCTCTGCCTACGAGCTGTGCAATACGAGCCGCAACGTGCAGGACGATATCCTGCAGTCGCTGGCCAAGAACGGCGGCCTCGTCATGGTCAACTTTTACTCCAAGTTTCTCTCCTGCAGCGACAACTCAACGGTTCAGGATGCAGTCGGTAAGTTGTACATTAAATTTATATTAACTTTGATTTCAAAGTTCGTTTTCCCTTAAAATGCCATTTCATTTCGCTGAGTTCTCCTGCCCAACTAGCGCAACCCTTTTTACTTTTTTGTGAGCATGCAAAACAATTAACGCCGCCGACTGACTGCGGTCTCTGTGGCTCCAGCCAGCACCCACCGTGCACCACCCAGCACCGCTGATTGTCAGCCCATTGTTTCAGCTAGTTCATTATTGCCTCTCGGCTAGCACTGCCATTTTTTTGTTGGCATTGCTTTTGACACGCCATCAAAATGGCGGACGTAATCACTTCCTGTTTCGTTGGCTTTCACACAATTCGGCTGCGCATGCCCTAAGCCAGGAAGCGGGTATGCTAGCACATTGAGTGAAGTGGACAGTTGGTAATTGGAAAAATTGAAAGGGTCAATAAGCACTTTGGTCATCGGAGTCAAAACGCTATAGATAGGGTTAAATACTGAGTTTGCATATGATCCTTAAAGAAGTATATCCTTAAAAAAGTTCATAAAAGATCATATAGTCATAACACTATACATAGGGCTAAATACTGAGTTTGCATATGATCCTTAAAGAAGTTCATAGTAGACCATGAAGTCATATCCAATCTAGACCTAGGGGTAGATTAATTTTGAACCTCTAAAAACATTGATTGATTTGCCAGTTATAAGCAGTGAATCTTAAGACAGTCGATGGAGATGTCACATGATTTGTTATAAGGATTATATATTATTATATCTGAAATGATTTGAAGTGATCTTGAAATTACCTGATTATGAATAAAGAATCAGTCAATCATAATACCAGGATTAACTGAACAATCATTCATATACAGCTTACAGGCAGCTTAGAGATCATAAGAGACAGACAGCGAGGGGTCTGCCTCTATAATAATCATTTATTGGGATTACACAGTATCTCGAATCAGTTCAATTGCTTGCTTTTGCCTGCTAATTGTTTGCTTGCTTTCTTTACAATTTTTTTGATGATTTTTTTTCTTCTTGGTATTTATTGTGCAATTGTTTAATGTGACGTGATTTGGTTTCCATCTCTTTTTGTCTTTTCATGGCATTGTCTTGGCGCCTGGACACATTTCAAATTTGCAAAATTTTAATAACGACGGCTTATGATGATGATGGCAACAACAACAACAATAACCGCGACAACAACAACAACAACAACAACAACGGCGCTCACTTAACAATGGACTCTAATGAACTCGACAACAACAACAACAAACAACATCACGCTTGAATGCTTGTCATTCGATATCCTGCTGACCAACACAACGAAATGCAAAATGACACTCACACACTCGGACACCCGCGGATATACACCCACACCCACGCACACACACAGCGCATATTAATCACATTAAGCGCGTTGCTGGCATCGATCACGTTGGCCTCGGCGCCGGCTACGACGGCATTAATTAGTAAGTAAAAGTCATTTATTTCACTTAAATGCGCATTTCCCTTGGCCACAAGCTTCACAGAGAGCAACTGCTACGGTAACTGAGAAGCACTCCCTCTCTCTCTCTCTCTCTCTCTCTCTCTCTCTCTCTCCCACTCTTCCAGCATCTCTTCCGCACTCTCTGTCGCAGCCTCTGCCCAGGTGGTTTTTAAGTTATTAATTGATTCTATTTAAGTACAGCAGCTTAACATTGGCATATTGCGGCTGCCAATTCATATTGCGGTTCGTTAAGGTCGCCAAAATGGGCAGTGAAAAGGTGAGAGAGTGCTGGGAGAGGAAGGGGGAAGTAAGCACAGCGAATAATTACAGCGGTTGCCAAGGGCAGATGTACTATTTATCACCGCGAAGGCTTTGAGAATTTTATAATATCTTTATATATCGAGTAATACACGCTTACAAAGCAAAGAGAGTATACTAGCTGCTTGACTAAAGACATTAATTTTGTATTAATATGACATTTGTAATCTCCTGTTATTGACAAAGAAGTCAACGAAAGACTTGTGGTTAGTGGGAGGGAGAGAGGCACAAAAAGAAATAGAGGATGCGAGCTAGCACAGGAGAGAGAAAAAAGGGGGGGGGGGGGCATATATATAGAAAAAAGAGAATGAGAGCGAGTGAGGCAAAGATACAGAAAAAAGAAAAAGAGAGAGAGAAACAAGAATGAGGAATCGATGAATCGAAGAAGAATCGAGTAGACATAATTAACATAAAACAAAGAGATCGAAACAGAGACGACAGATAAAGAAGGGGCAGGTAGAAATACATGAAAAACACGAGTTAGCAGGAGTGCGAAAGAAAAACATGATTAGATATTATAAGTGCGTGCGCGAAAAAGAGAGATAATGAAGAGAAATGACAGATAGAAGAGATAGAAGAACGAAGAGACTAAAGAAAATGAAGAGTATTCTAAAGTGGAGAGGAGGTCTTACAAATCCCTTGAGATCTTAAAATTAAATGTCTTGTTTTACTGTTAAATGTCTATTGTTAAGCCACAAATATGTTCCATAAATAATAAATAAGTGGTCCAAATTTTCATGAAATCTTGGACTTATTTAGAGTCGCATAAAATAAGCCGTAGAACCAATTAATCTAAGTGGTGTGAGGTTAGAAGAAGGTTATTTTAATTTAGATACCAAACTTTATTTAAAGGAATCCTATATTATTATATCAAGATTTGCATATTATATGCAATATATTATATGCATATATTTTAGTGTGCATATTCCTTTCTATATCTCGATTTTATTTTGTAAAATTCTATTAAAGCAGGCAGTTGGTAGTGTCTGCTCTCTCTCTCTCTCTCTCTCTCTCTCTCTCTCTCTCTCTCACTCTCTGTGTGTCCTTGTCTCCCTGATACATCCACATTAAATACTTTAAATACACAAAAACTCGAACACTTTTCAACCTAAATTAGTTAGAGGAATATATACAGACACAGAGAGGGCGAGAGAGACAGAGAGAGAGACAGGAATATTGGCCAAACAGTTTCACACTTCAATTTAAATTGAATGGTCCCTGCTGGAAAGGGTTCACACTGAAAGTGGACTTAATTCATTCGCTCTGATGGTTACCAATATGTCAGACACACACACACACACACACACACTGACACAAACCCACCCATACGTACACTGCACTCATTATCATTAGCATTCAACGTTATCAGCAGCAATAACTCGATAACGCTGTCGACCAAAAATTTGCATTTATTTTCGTCTCACTGGCTTTTATTTTGGTGACACAGAGCACAAAAATAAACAATGTCACGAAATTTGAGGAGCGACGATGTTCCAGTATGTCCTGACCCTTACACACACACACACACACGCTCACATACACCCTGAGACACCCGTCCATTTGTTGCGTGTTGTTCAATTAAATATTTTTACTACATGCCACACAATTTTTGTAGCCACAACAAGTCGCTTGTTGTTGTAATGCGACATGCATATGAAAATTTCCGACAACAATTTTCATGTAAATCAATTTCCCAAACGAAACGAAGTTCATTTCGCCGAAAAAGCAACTACAACAACAACAGCAACAGCAGCAGCACTAATAAAAAGAAAAATGTCAAAAAACACAACTGAAATTGCGCTTATGAATATTTATAGGCCACTCTCACAACACACACGCACACACACACACGCACACACATAGAGTCGCACACACGCACAGTGGCACAAGTATTTCACAATAAATAATCTAAAATTCTATGAAATTACAAAATGTCAAATGGTATTTTTCCGGCTCGAACCCCGCATGGCCAACCACAGCCACGCCCCTGGGCGTTGACTGGCATTTAATGCGTTTAACAAGCAGCAATTGAAGCTGCGTTGTTTTCGATATTTGTTGTTGTTGTTGCTGTTGCTGCTGGTATTACTGCATTCCGAGCCACTTCAATGACACCTGACACATCTTCATAGTTTTTGGCCAGGCTATCGCATATTTATGCCGAATTCTTTTGTAATGTTTATTGAAATACACTTGAAGTGCATAGAGAATTTAAGCTATAGAATGAAGTGTGCCACAGGTGTATTATAAAGTGTGTATATATACAAATCAAATTTGCTAAATTTTCCACATATGATATTAAATTTCAATTATTGAAACAGCTCAATTGGTTTCTAATTATGGAAAATGCAATTTCTTTTTAAATTCTAATTCTTCGACTGGTTATTCACAAGGCATGACAGTTACTTAACCAACCGATTCTAGAAAATCAAATAAGTTTTTATATATAATAGAACTAGCATGAATTACATCAAACCAAACAAGATCATAGTTAGGCAATCCATTTCGAGCAATCGAAAGAGTATTTCGACTTCGTTTGTTAGGCTCGTCTATCGTTAATTAAATTTAATTTTAATGCGTGATTATTGTGATACATTTATCATGTGGAATGCGAATTGAATTTAAAGCACAGGCCATAACCGCAAATGGGAGATATTAATTTGCGCACAAACAATAAAGCACCAAACGAAATGCATGCGTACAGCAATAGCAAATGGAAGAATGCACGCACGCATTTGAGACGTGGAACCGCAAAGGATGCTTAAACAATATAAATGCGAAGCTTAAAGGACAACGTAGACAAATGACAGAAATTGGGCTTTGTTTTTGACTGCAGCATGTTTGAAATATATGTATTTATAGTTACGATAATACAGGGTGCTTCACTAAAGGGCAGCTGTCAAGAAAATATCTGCATCATAGATCATTTGCAGTTGAAAATTAAATATATTTATTTACCTGTATACTTATTTTGTGCCTTCCTCTCTCTCTCTCTCTCTCTCTCTCTCTCTCTCTCTCTGTCTGTCTGTGAGCACCCTGTATTGTGCTTAAGCACGTCATTTAAATTGTGGCCTAAATGCTGCATATAACAGTAAATTATTATTTATTCGTACATCCTCCTTCAAGTGCGACCAGGAATATAAATTTATTATTTATATGCCATTATATTTGGTTTGTTTGTTATTTATTTATCTCTCTCTCTTTCTCTCTCTCTCTTTCTCTATCTTTCTCTCTCTGCTTTATTATCCGAACAGAGTTTGGGTAGATTTAGCGTCTGGTTTATTGTTTAATTTTTATGACCATATTTACCATTAAGAAAATAATATATAATTGAAGGCCCCTACTAAATTGAATGTGCATAGGAAATATATAGTATATTGCTCTGATTTAAGGCCGTTTCAATGGGAAATAAAGATATATGTAAATACGATAAATCACTATGAAATTGTTTGAGTATATATTATTAAAATTAGTTATTTCTTATAAGCAAATGTTGATCCATCTCTTATAAAACCCTGGACTTTTTAAATATTATGATATATGTATATATAGCTGAAATAATTAAAATCCTTTAAATTTTACTTTATTCCAATAAACTCAATTAAAAATATTCATTTTCTATCTCTCTCTCCCACTTGCAGCACACCCAAAGGCCTGGAGGATGTTTCGTCATATCCCACATTATTCGCTGAGCTCTTAGGTGGGGGCTGGACTATGGATGAGCTGACTAAATTGGCTGGGGGCAATTTCTTGCGCGTCATGCAGCAGGTGGAGAAGCTACGCGATGAGAAGAAGGCCGCCGGACTGAAGCCCTACGAAGATCATCCCAATTTCCGCACTGACGATCCATACAATTGTACTTCCAGCTAATTAAATCTAAGCATTAGAGCCAAGCAGGTTGTACAATAGACCAGTTTAGTGAAGGTGCATGCAACGAAAATCTCTATAAATACAAAATCTATATATATTTGGCTGCATATAATAAAGTGAATACACATAGAAATTAATATGGAATATTTAAAAAATAAATCAATAAATACAATTGCATTCTAGTTATGTAAGATATGGCCTAGCTATGGTTTGTATAAGCTTTAAGTATATGTTCATAAGACTAAGAGTATTTGGCTAGTTATTGCTAAGTTCTAACTAAACCTTTCGAATTTTGTTGTTGTTAAGTTATGAGACAATCTACAGACTGCCAAGAGAAGCCACAACACCCACACTTTACAACAGATCGTTGAGATTTATTTGAGAAACAAATACCAAAAGGTTTTTTGCTGTCCACCCAAGCCAACTGCTCCGACCGCTCCTCCCATATGAAATTCGCTAAAGATTCCCCAATGAGAACTTTCAACTGGACCAACAACAGAAATAGATCAAATATGAAATACGATATATGAAGAATACAATTACCATATGTTTCCGACTTGATTCATTTAGTTGTTTATGTGAAAAACTACATATCAAGCGTGTAATAAATATGATAAATAAAACTGAATTAATTTCTTAGATTAATGCTAATGCAAATATTGAAGGAAGATGAAGAAAAACAAGTGGGAAAGCATACACTTACATTGAATATTACATTATTATAATTATTGTTATAAAAAGTATATTAAGTATTAATAAAATATTTAGGAAATTACTGAAAGCTATGCGCAACTATGGGGCGGGCATTAATTAAATGTTTATTAAACAATTAGTTCAATTTTTTAAGCAGTTGTATAAACTCTATACTGAACGGCATAAATAGCGTACCACATACTAAATTAGCACAATAAGTTAAAATGGGCGTGGCAAATTGCTGAAAGTGCATGTCACGCATACAAATTGTAAATAACTAAACATTG